GGTGGTATATTAGGTGATAAGATTATCCCGTATCTCTCATAACATTTCGCATAGAGTTTTATAAGAGTAAGAGTTAGAGATAAGCATCTCGGTATGAGAAGTATCTCTCCGTTCGCTTAGTAGATCGGGAAGCGTGGATAAAGTTTTAGGATTTTTAAACGGAGAATTTTTCTGTTGCTGTCAAATTGGAGGTGAATTTCTTTGGCTTTGGCTCATTGGGCGGCTAGGTCATAATACCCTTTGGTTCGGTTGGGGAAAACTAAGTAAGCTTGACCGGTATCTTTGTCGTGAATGGAGAAATAAGTTTTGCCGTTTTTGTCTCTTTTGAGTTCGACATAAAGATTGCGGAGAATGATTTCTTGGCTTGAATTGGCTGGCATTATGTGGATATTTTTTTAAGTCGCTAGGGAAATCAAGCTAACTTAATTTTTTAGAAGCAAAAAGTAAGCTTGGGAAGCAGGTTGTTTTAACCGAATTTGTGAATGAGAGTTGGTTGATATCAGACCACCTATTTTTAAAAAGCCCTTGAAATCAGGGAGGAGTTGTTGCTAACTAGTTCGGAAATCAGGCTATCCTGCTCGGAAAGAAAATGCTAAAATTATAACTTATAATTGTAAAACAATATAATAAAAGCAAAAATATGAATAAACACAAACAAGCCATCTTTATTTACGAACATCCAGTCGCGTCCTTGGCAAAATAATAACCCAAAAAAACCCAAGTCTAAAACTAAACTTGGATGAAAAATTAGCAATCAGAAACTAGTTAAGCCACAGATGCTTGTAAAACTGTAAGCGGATATGCGACACTATCTTAAAAATGCCAGTTAGTCTGGGAAGCGTAGTTGCTAATGAAATCAAATTAGTTAAATTTATTGAAAGGAAACGTAGTATTATGACAGAAAACAAAGATTTAAAATACATTCAACAATTAAAAAATCAACCATATATTTCCGAAACCAGAACGGAATATGTGCTTAACCAAGAGCAACCATCTCAAGAACAAAATAAACCAAAATCTACTGCTGAAACAGTTAAAGAAATGACAACTGCGATTAAAGAGGAGG